AAAGATTATCAAATTTTTTAAACAAAAATGAATTTTATATTCGTAATTTAAATTCAAGAAAAAAAATCAAAAAAATAAAATTTGAATTTATATATATCATATGTAATTCAATGTCATCGGTAAAAAATATATTTTAAATTAATAAAATATAATTCATAAAAATAAAAATACAATTGTAATGAAGATAAAAAAATATATTTAAATAAATTTTATTATTTGCAATGACTTAAATAATATAAAATCAATATGAATACAATAGATTCAATGAAAGAAACGCATATAAATTTAATTCAAATATAAGTTAAAGTTCAGATCATCGTTCATTCTCCTATTTAATTGTATTTAAATAAGTAGGAAATGAATAATATAAATTTAAGTAATAATTTAAATATCTTTTACATAATACCAATTTCGATTTTGAAAATATCCTGTTTCATATAATTACAAATAAATAAATTTCTTATATAATAATAATTGTAATATAATTTTTTTTTTTATTTTAATTAGAATGATTAATTATGTATTAATCTTTCATTATCGATATTCATGATTATAATAATTAAAATTGACGTCTAAAGATTTCATTAAAATAATTATCAAAATGTAAAAAAAAATATAAAATTCTATAAAAAAAATTATATCATTAATATTCTGACAAAAAAATTATTAATATTCTGATATAAAATCTTCCGATGAATGACGTTTGTAAAAAAAAAAAATTATTTAAATTCTGTTTCGGGAAATTTTTAAATAATAAATATTCTAATTAAATATTTCGTATTTTCATAGAATAAAAAGTTCTCTATACGTATATAATTATATTTTTATATTTTTAATCAATATATAATTATTACTAATTTATTTTTCTTTTCTTAAAATATTAAAGTATTTCATATTAAAAATTAAAGAATACATATAATTGAAATATTTTATATTGAAAAATAAAATATATGCTGAATAAAATATATTAACTGAGAAAGAGAAAATAATTTAAACAAAAATAAAATTACAAGATAAATACAAGATAAGGAATTAGTATAAAGTTTTTATAATTTTAATGATAATGATAATATTTTCTAATCTTTTTAGGTAAGAAATTCATTTTGATATATTGATTTATATATAATTAAGTTTTCATGCCATAATTTTTAGAATAAATATTTTTATTTACTTTATGATTTTTTATATTCATTAATTTAAAAAGAAGAAAATTTAAAAAAAAAATCAATATTTTAAATTAATTTTAAACTAATTAATACAATAGAGAAAATATTTTGAATACAATATAATAGAATGAATACAATGGAAAAAATATTTTGAAATTTCATCATTTTGAAAATTATTAATATTGATTAATCGACAATACAATGAATTATAAATATTAATTATTTTTAATTTTAGTCAAATTTTGATAAAATTTTTATGACACGTATTGGACAATTTAAAATTAACAGAAGTCATGACATATTCTTAATCTTCGACGAATTTTTCAGGAAGTCTGTCGATCGTGCAAGGACATTGCATTTCGAGATTCGAATCGGCAATCAGAAGAAGGATCCAAGATTCGTTTCTTCCGGTTGTGAATCTTCTCGAGAAACGATTGACAATCATTAATATGCGTTTCGAATCGTGTATCGAATTAAAAGAATACAAAAAATAATCCTTTGTTTTAAATTTACCAATTTTGATGATATTTAATTTACAAAATTAAATATTATATTTAATTTTACAAAAATTATTTCGCAACTTAGAAATAAACTCATTTCTTTGATTCGATTTATCGATAACAATATTTAAATTCATGATAATTATTTTGTAAAATTAAAAACCAAGTATTTTTTATTTCCTGATTCGATGACAATATTTAATTTTACGATTTTTAATTATTTATAAACTAAGAACCAATTTATTCTTTATTATTTATTTTTATTTTCCACTTTAATTTGATTTATCGACGATAATATTTAATTTCACGTGGATTATTTAGTAATTTAAAGATTAACTCTTTTTTATTTTTTAATTCGATTTATTAATATTTAATTTTATAACAATTATTTAATAATTTAGAAACCAATTTAATTTTTATATTTTGATTCCATATATCGCGTATCAAATAACAAAATAGAAGAAATAATATTTCCTTCATTATAAGGATGTAATAAATATTCGATAATATTATTCAATCTCATGATAATTATTTCACAATATTAATTTTTTGTTTCATTTTTTATATTTTTTATATATATATAAGAATACAAAAAAATTTTATAACTTTACTTAATAACTTGGTAACTTTTTAACTTTTACATATTCCATTTTACATATTTATATAGTTTTTATATATTTTAAGTTGACGCAATTATACTTTGATAATGATAAATTGTGTAAAATGGAAAATAATTTTGAATCAATATCTATTCCTAATTACTTTGAAAATTGTATGAAATATATTGTGAATATAATTACCAAATTATTTTTAATTAATATCTTGTTAATATTTATCATATAAATGTGAAATACTGTTTTCAGCTTATTATTTAGCAAATCATCTAAATTGTTTTTGACCTCTGAAATTATCGTCCAAAACGTTAAAAAGTTCAAGAGAGATTATTATTGTTGTTATTTCAGATATATTTAACAGTGAAACAAACAAAAACATAAACTTTTTCCAATTGAAAACAAGTGATCTATTTAATATAAACGAGAAATATAAAAAAATTCTAAATAATAATTAAATATTATATATTATATTAAATAATATTAATATTACATATATATTTTTTTATATTTTTTATATTTTAATTTTATTTTTTAAATACAACGTAAAAAAATGTATTATATATATTTATATGTAATAATTAATTATATTTATACAATTATGGGCCAAATATTTGAAATCATTTATTTTTTTCTTTAAATCTTCTACTTTTGTTATTATTATTTCGAAATTAGTTCTTTAGATATTAATATTTTGATAGATTTTTTATAAAAAAATTTTCTGAATGAATTCTAACCTAATTTTTCTTAATTCTGTAGAATGAGTTATTAGTTTCAAATTTTTTTTAACATATATATATATATATATATTTATTTATTTATTTTTCATTAAGCTGTCTAATTTCTAATCTAATATTTTTTCTATTTTAATTATAAATAGAAAAAGAAAGCAATCAATTTAAAAGTGGTTATTTAATTTACAGTGATTATATTAACTATCGATAGATCGAATAATCATTTCACAGAGATGGTACAACAGTAAAAGTTCCAAAATCTATATATAAGTTAAAGAAATTAAAAAATATATTTTTTTTTGAAATGAAAAGAACAACAAAGATGAAAGTTTTTCAATTTTTGCCATTTAAAAATATTTCAATGACGGCAAGGAGACCGCCTAGCCAGACAAACGTACGTCCCTTAAATAACTGCGACGCGATCGAGTGGAACGTGAATCGAAGTCAAATCGATTGCTCATGTGATTCGTGATTCATGGGACAAGCAGTGCACGCGGAGAAACGATCGAAAAACGACGCGTCAATATGGAAAGACGTTTCGGTGTTTACATCAACGAACTATGTTACGATTTGATCGTTCGTTTGCTATGATCTTTCAACATTATCGGTTTTCCATTATTATCTCATTGACAGGAAAAAACATCGATAATATCGCGAATTTCTATATCATACTCTTTCAACTAAAATGTTCATTGTTGAACATAAGTTTTATTCTGAAAACGTTAAATATATTTATGTTTATTAATATAATAACGATAATTTACTGTTTTTCAGATACTTTTTTAGTAAGATCGTTAAATGTAATAATGAATTATATAATAATAATTTGTTTTTAATAAATAATAGGAATAATTTTGAAATTAAAAAATTAAAAATTATATTGCTGATATGAACCTATACGTACGTATTTCTTACTGATTAAAATTCAATTTGTTCGATTCGATCGTTGTCAAACTCCTATCTAAAAGATTAGTTTTCTCTTTTCATAATATATCAAGATCAATTACTCTTTTCATCCATTAAAGTCCAGTTTACATTAATATAATATTGTAATGTAAGAAATTTGTAATTTCTTTCAGTTTTCATTCATGATTTGTAATATATAATATATTTATATTTATAATTTTTAGGAATATTTAAGTATCTTAGTTATTACAAACATATAAATAAGATTAAAATATATTTATTTAAAATTTTCAACGTAAATTTTTTTCATAGGTCGTTTCCAAATGTTTATCAATTATTTTTAAAAATTTTCAAATAAATTTTTTTACTGTAATTAATGTAAAATGTTCTCATAGAATAGACATCTCTAATATCTTTATGATATTTTGTTAGGAAAATAAAAAATTATTAAAGGAAACATAGAAATGGATATTCAATTGCCAACACAAGGGTTAACGAATCCGTATAAAGTAAACATAAGCGCCACCTTGGTAGGCAATTTAAAGATAATATTACGCGCATTCTGTCTACACATATATGTTTAATACACATATATTTTTTTGTACAAATATATACCTACATCGATATCGTATAGATATGGTACGTATCACTTAGTTTATTACCGATGGCATATTACCGAGTACAAAATAATTGCAAGATAATATACACTGACCCAGAAACGCGTAACAACGAAACATTTCCAAGTTTTCGTTTTCTATTCAGAACGATCGAATTACACAACTTCGTAATTTGAACACATCGAAATGATTAAGGGAAAAAAAAAGAAAAAGGAAAAAGTGTAACGCATTTGTAAAACATTCTACTAATTGTGATATGAGTACAAAGCGTAAAAATGAACAAAACGGGTGAAGTATATTATGGTTTCAGCGATTAAATCGAAAAAGAGGCGCGCGCACGAAATCATTTCCGTGCATTTCTGTCGATTTGTTACGTCAGATATAAGAAGGAAAAACAACCGCGCGAAGTGGTTGCGCTTCTATTGGAAGCGAGCGTGGCAACGTTATGTACTTTCAGCTCACTTACCGGACGATCGGCCGACGACAGGCAATTATGTATCTCACGTAATCGTCTTTCCTTAACAATCGAACACACACTGCTCTTTTTCCGTGCTGTCACTGCTGATCAAATTTCTTTGATGAAAAATTCTCTTTTCTCTCTTCGTGAATCACGTCTTTTTGCCAAGTTTCCTCAGATTTTAACGTCAATTATTCGATAAATGTTAAACGAAGAAGAATAATAATCAGGCACGACGAGTCGCTAATCACGACGATTTCTATGATCGGATCACAAAAACGCGATATTTTTTTATCAAATTCTTAACGATCTTTCTCCTCAAACTTGACTTTTTACAAATTCGTATCAAATGATATATCAAGGGAAATTAAATTGAATAAAACGAAATGTAAAACTAAAAAAAAGAGAAATCGAAAAGAAAAAAAAAAAAGAAAAATAAAAACGTTAAAGAAACCAAAGGGACGAAAGTCTGCTTCCGCTTATGCGATACCGATTATATTCGTACGAATAAACGCGCTACCGCCGTGCCAAGTTGCGGACTGACAGCAGTCACGCCGGTGGATTGCTTTTAACCGAGCCGCCATATTGGTATCGCATCCCTTCTACTTTTTGCGATCCTTCGACTCTTGACGCGAGATCGGACACCTTCATGGACAACGTTTGCCGCGTCTCTTGTCGCCCTTCACGATTCTTTTGCTCCTTTTTCCTTCTTATAATAATGTGAATCATTGAATTCTTTCTTTTTTTTTTACATATTTAAGATATATACGTATCTTTCTAGGATTACTTATTATTTTATATTATTATTAAATAATATATATAATTATATATTATTATATAATTATATAAAATATAAATAATATAAATATAAATAATATAATTAAATTATATTATATTATTAAATAGTTAAATGATAATTTAGTAATAATTATTATAAAAAAATGATAATTAAATGATAATAAAGTTAATAATGTATATTGTTTGTTTAAATATATATTATAATGATTTATTAAAAATATGCAAAATATATGAGAAATTACCATAGTCATGAAGCAATTCAATATTATTTAAAAAAAAAATTATAAAAAAAGTTTTAAAAGTTTTTTTTAAAAGATCATTAATTACACGATTATATTATCCAATCAATAATTTACATAAATTTCTTAATATTTGATATAAAACTTAATCTTCTTACTATATTTTTATATAAGTATTATATATATATGTATAAAAATTTATTTTTTTTTATCTTTATTAATACATTCAATATAAATACTCTAATTTTATTTATTCTTTTTTTATTTTATTTGAAATTTTCTAACAAAATATATTAATAAAATATTCAATTTTCAATATAATTACTTTAACAAATATCTTTTAAATAAATTGTAGAATGGCTGCAAACTTTATGGAATTATACATCTTATATCTTTTCAAGCAATGTATCTTAAGTTTTTAAATAACGCATTATGGTTAATAATGACTATATCATTTTTGAATCACTTGCTGATTTATATTCTTGTTTTATTCGATAATTTTTTTTCAAATCGTTGACGATTCTTTCTCCTTTGAAATATTAAAATATAATACATTTTGCATTTTTTTTTCATATTAGTCAATTATGTATTTAAGTTTAATTTCTAACCAAAAAAAGGAAAAATAATTAGCAATAAATTAATAGTAAAAAATTATGTGAATATATATGTGATTCTATTATATCTATTAAAAAAAAAAAAAAAAACAAGAAAAATAAGAAAAAAATTTCATTAAAATCTCAATTTTCAATAAATATTTGTAAGTCTCGATATTACGATGCAAAAAAAGATAATGAACAGCATAATAACATATCTTTGAGGAAAATTTAAAATCTTCAACAAGATTGGTCCGATGGTCAATAAGTTCGGACAAAGGTTTTTCGTTTCGTTTAACGAACGTGACTGATGTCGTATAACAATACGCAACAAAAAGTTTAGCGATTTGAAAAATGTATGTACGAACTCTGTTGAACTTAGTTGAAATACAAATATTCGTCTACGCCTCGCCTCTATTAAAAATTGTTAACCTAAGTAAATTTTATCCGTGAACATTTTCTTAAAATACCAATTAGAATTCGTATTGTGAATTTTGACGGTTCGACGGAATTTGCGTTCTAAAATCACAAACATTTTATTTCGAGAATAAGATTCATTCACGTTGAATGTTCATTGTCTTATTATGGTCTGATCCGTTTCTCGACGTATGTGAAAACTTTCGACATCTCATTCAGAATTCATTCCCATCATTTAGAATATTTCTTAAAAAAAAAAAAAAAAAAAAAAAAAAANAAAAAAAAAAAAAAAAAAAAAAAAGAAAATTCGACATTCATGAGTTTATTCGATTCGATTCCGATACAAATCGAAATTATATTAATTTTTATTACATTCATTTATCGCAATACAATGCGACTTAATTTGTTTGTATTATATTATTGTATTATATTTGTATTATATGTATATTATACGTAATTTATAAATCGTAATGTGAAATGATATTGCAATATTCTCTGTTATTATCAATCGATTCTTATCCTTTCATTAATCATATAATTAATTATGAAGAATAAAACTTGAAAGGAATATTATCAAAAGAAAACAAAGAAAAAAAAAAACAAAAATATCAAGAATATAAAGAAAATAGTTTTTTCTATTTCAATTCTACTTTATTCATAAAAATATTCGATATAAATGCAAGAAACTTTTTATTTCTATTTATTGAATATGCAATTTTCAAAGTTACTTTCAGTTTTAATCTGTTTGATGATGTTAAAACAAAACTATTAAATATTTTCTAATATCAATGATTTTGAATTTTTTTTTAAAAAATTAAATTAAAAAAACAAGGAAGAAAGTATATTTTATATTTGTTAATTTTGTAAGGATTTTTTTAAAAATGTTAGAATTGAATTTGTATTAAGAAAAAATACTATATTTCTTATATATTTATTTTTTAAAAAATTTTTAATAATTTCGAAATTAATTTAAAATTTTTTTTTATTAGAAAAATTATTTCAGAAATTTCAGTAAAATAGCTGTGTCAATGAGGTGATCTATTTATCAATTATACTTGTATTATCGTCATACTATTATAAGCAAAAGTGAAAATTAAAATATTGCGTAAAATTTAACTTTTTGTACACTCGAATCAACAATTCAAAATTTTCCGATTTGAATAAGTTTTTCATAATTAACTTAAATTTTCACGAATTAACATACAAAAATTTTACGTAATTTATAAATCGTAATGTGAAATGATATTGCAATATTCTCTGTTATTATCAATCGATTCTTATCCTTTCATTAATCATATAATTAATTATGAAGAATAAAACTTGAAAGGAATATTATCAAAAGAAAACAAAGAAAAAAAAAAACAAAAATATCAAGAATATAAAGAAAATAGTTTTTTCTATTTCAATTCTACTTTATTCATAAAAATATTCGATATAAATGCAAGAAACTTTTTATTTCTATTTATTGAATATGCAATTTTCAAAGTTACTTTCAGTTTTAATCTGTTTGATGATGTTAAAACAAAACTATTAAATATTTTCTAATATCAATGATTTTGAATTTTTTTTTAAAAAATTAAATTAAAAAAACAAGGAAGAAAGTATATTTTATATTTGTTAATTTTGTAAGGATTTTTTTAAAAATGTTAGAATTGAATTTGTATTAAGAAAAAATATTATATTTCTTATATATTTATTTTTTAAAAAATTTTTAATAATTTCGAAATTAATTTAAAATTTTTTTTTATTAGAAAAATTATTTCAGAAATTTCAGTAAAATAGCTGTGTCAATGAGGTGATCTATTTATCAATTATACTTGTATTATCGTCATACTATTATAAGCAAAAGTGAAAATTAAAATATTGCATAAAATTTAACCTTTTGTACACTCGAATCAACAATTTAAAATTTTCCGATTTGAATAAGTTTTTCATAATTAACTTAAATTTTCACGAATTAACATATAAAAATTTTACGTAATTTATAAATCGTAATGCGAAATGATATTGCAATTTCAATTTGCGTAATACTTTTAAAGAGCTTAAGAATTTGAAATGATATTTTAAAGAAATTAAACATAAATTAAAAATATTGTCGCTGTTCTAATTACCGCATCAATTCAAATAATGATCGAGAGTCATCTCTCGAGTTATCGCATCAAATGGTGCCTAAAAGTCACTTCTCAAGTGCAAAGGATTAATATTAGAACAAAGAATTATATCATAAGAAAATCATATGTTCTAAATATTCATTCATTTTCCAAGTTATGCTTCCTCAATTCATTAATATAATATAATATTCATTTTAGCATATAATTTATCATTTGTTAAAATTCGTCTCAAACAATCAAAAAAAAAAAAAAAAAAAAAGAGATTATAGGAATTAAGAAATAACTTAAAAGATATATATATATAAAATATAATTTTTCTTGAGAATTATTTCTACAAAATGATGATTTTATATATATTCAAATTTTGTTCATTTGTATCATTTTAAAATATTGATTTAAAAAAGAAAGAAAATACTAAAATTTTACTAAATTTCACTCTTTCAAAAGAGTGCTGTTATTCTATTAGAAAGATATACTACTTAATATATAATTTAACTTACTATTATTAATTTCAAACTTTTGAATAAATAAAAATAATATATAAAGATTATAAGTAACTGTATATATAAGTATAGATACAGATTTATTATTTCTATGATTCCAAATTTTTTATCAATATTTTATAAAAACTAATAATAAATAACAAGAAACGATATAATAATTGAATATTAATTACAAATAAAGTAAAAATAAGTTGATAGACAAATTTAGATATAAATTTATTTCTATAGATCAAAAAAGAGAAAGATCTAATTTTTATTATATTTTTAAATCCTGCAGAAAATTAAACAATTTAGATAAATTTAAATAGATTTATTTCAATGGAATTTTTGTAAAAATATTTTCTAAAAAAAATATCTAACCTAACTTTTTCTTACATTTTTATATTTTGTGAGATACATTTTATTAGTTTTAAATCTAAGTAACAAAAAACTTTGTAAATTTATATATGATATAAATTATAATTTTAAATTAGAAATAAATTGAAATTATCAAATGTTTTTTTTTTTATAATCTATTAGTAGACTTTGTTCACAAATATAATATCTTATTTTTTTTTTTTATTTGAATAATGTGAAATCATTGACTAATATTTATCCACAAGTATGCATAACGTCAAGTATATGAAGGCGTATCGCGGTTTAATTTCTGAAACAGTATTTTCGCTTGATTCCGTATATAGTAGAAAGTAAAAACATAACGATTCGTACGTCCACTTTCCAGACTCGCAGTTTTACGGCTTATATAGTTATATGCTACAAACAACGTAATTAAGAATGCTCGTACAAAGAATGCTCGTTCACAGTGCATAATACAAGGACATATATATATATATATATATATTTTTTAAATATATTAATATAGATATTTTTT